AACAGTTTGGCTTCCTGCAATCTTAACCAGATGTTATAAAAATTGGCATAAAATCCAAAACTACTCTTTTAACCTCTTTAAAAGAAAGAAAGCCATCTGAAAGTTACCAATCTGAAGACAAAAATTCTCATTACTTTATTTCTGTGAAGATAATATTAATGAGATAATCAGGCCAGGAAGGAAATCTGACTACATCTGACAGTAAGTTCAGAATTAAAATTTGCTGCTCTTCTCCAAGATGATAAAAAAAAAATCCAAGCTGTGTGACTGTGACCTCAATACCACAAAATGAAAATAAAAAGGAATTAATGTAAACACTAAGCTTCTTCAGCCCAAAGTGAAGGACGGGCAATATCCAAGTGGTTCTTTGCTATATCTCGCCCTCTACAGGACAGTTGCAACTGATTAAAAAGATCAATGTCAAACTGCTCCAGCCTGTATCAGATAAATAGATGGTGACATGGACTGGGAAGTGGCCAAACTGTGGGCTCAATGACTTGGGACCAGGGCCACAAAGTCCAATAGGAGTCTGAACACTGGTGGGATATCCAATGGAATCAGTACTGCGCTGATAATCTCATTAATTCTTCATTGGTGACCTAGGCGATGGGAACCAAGCAAGTCTCATTCAAATTTTATGACCCCTTTGTTCTGCCTTACTGACCATAGTGCTGAGGGCACCAGCTTAATTTTCAAAGATGTCTCATTCCTACAACTTCTACTAAAGCCCACAGAAATTACAGCTAGCTTATTGTCTCTGAAAATCACTCTCACAAGTTGACATCACAAAAAACATAGTTCAATTTAAAAAGACTTTGCCCATGGACAAAGTTTTTCTCTGTTATACTCCTTTAAAAAAAAAAAAAAAAAAAAAAAGAAAGCAACAAGACATAAAAAAAGGAAACTGAGCTGAGAAACTCTCTAGTTATTTCAGCACATCTCTACATTACAAATTTCTTAACACAGTTAAAACCAAAAGTCTCTTCTACACACTACTACAACATTTGCATCTTTATTGTTTTCAGCAAGTCTATATCTCATGTATATACATAAATTCTCAGTTCTAGTTTACAGTCACATTTCACTGCAAATCAACTTCAAAACACTACTTTTAGTTTCGCCTAAAAAGGCATAAACTTAATCACATTTAAACCAAACTCACATTTTTCCATTGGTTTAACTAAACTCATTTCCAACCGCATCATTAGTGAAACTGATGCAACTCTGAACGTGTGTAATACAATCCAGGAACCAAAGTCTCAGTGAAACCCAAGGGAAGGTAACCACACCTTCGGCAATTTTACCTCAGACCTCAGGTACACTTCTAATACATGCTCTGTGCACCAAGACTGATAAAACAGGCAAGATAAGACTTGAATAGTCACACCCTGGTAGTCTGTTGAAACTGCTCTGCCTCCTAAACAGAATTTACTCAGAGCTGTCCCTTCGACACTCGTTGCCTCTAATAAGCATCACTTTCAGTGCACTCTTTTTTTTCAGTTTGTTTATTTTGTTGTTGGGTTGGTTTTGGATTACAGCCTAGATATCTCTGCTGCACAAAAGCATTGGGTTCCTCCTCCTTCTCACTCCATGCTCCCAAACCTTCACAGAAAAAACCTTACCCCAGCAGCCAGCACAGTACCTGCCATTGCACAGTGCTCATCAGCTTCACCAAAACCAAAGGGGAATAAAGAAAAACAAACAACATCACATATACTAATTACTTTACACAAAGCTCTTCTTAGCTTTAATTAAATTTGGGCAGTAATTGAGTGAATTTTCGTCACTCAAAAAGGTGGCAATTTTGGCAGGCATGGTCTCGACGTAGCTTATCACAATGCAATGGTCAAGTTGAGCCCTCAAGATTGTGGGGGTTAGGACAGAGCACAACAGGACTCCAAGTTGCAAATTAATATAATACAGCACTTCTTATGTACCTCACCAATGTCAACAGAGTAAGGGACGAGAGTATGCTAACATACAGTAGTGTATACACATGCAGTAATAACAAATACTCCTACATTTATTATTAGTATGTGTGCATCTAGGTGAGGCATCCCATAAAGTTTTTTCCTATCCCAGACAATGGCTGTCCAGTTATTTGTTGTTTTTTTTTTTCCTACAGGAAGGGGGAAATTATGAGTCTGAGTACAAGGCCAGGATCTGCAAAGCACTAGCAGCTGCTCACTCTACATTGCTGATAGTTATTTTACTTATGGCTAAAGCACCTTACAAAACTATTAAAGAATCTACTTTTACTGAGTCTCACATCTTCAGCGTCTTCCACACTAGCATTGCCAAATTTTTGGATAAGACACACTTATCACACACCAAAAGAAGACTGTGCTCACTTCCCAAAGAGAACTCAGGGGTGCTATGGACCACAAGTTAAAGATGCTAAAGCCTAAGTATTGTACTCTGCTAATGGAGCTGTTTCTTTCCTGCACCCATTCCGATCAAACACAAAGACCTTCACAGCACCCCTTACTGCAAATGATGCAGGATAAATATAAAAGAGCATAGTCTTATGACTCCAAAGACAAATGTGAGACACATATAACAAATACCTCAAGACAGCACAGAAGTGGCTATTAGTCAGTTCAAGTCCTTACTGTGCCACTTTCGTACATCACAAGTAAAACACCCTCCATGTCAGACTCTATGTTCTTTTATGGAGAGTATTTCAATTCTCTTTTCTTTTCGACCTCAAATTTTGATCCAGAGATATATATATATTTAATGGTGGCTTGTTTTTTTTGTTTTTTTTTCCATGTCTGGAACATTTCCAAGAAAAGCTCTGGCTTCAATAATTCAAATTTCTGACAAAATAAGCCTCATAGAAAAATAATTCCTAACCAGCTCAAGTAATGCGTGATATAAAAAGAAATACATAAACAGAATGAAAAAACTTAATTGCAGAATCTTCAAGAAAAAAAAAAAAGAAAAGATTTTTTTCTTCCAATAGGCAGGGGACTGCAGCAGAACTTCTGCCACAGTGAATGAGGAGTTATAAGCACACAGAACAGATACAAGTATGGTTTTGAAACAGAACAAAAACGCACTTGGAAAACCAAAAATCAAACTGCAATGCCTTAAAATGGTTCCATTTGAATTTGTTTCTAAAAGTGGGCAAAGACATGCAAAAACATAAGGCTTTCTTATGTCAAGAACTTAATTCAGATTCGTCCGTGGTACAGCGTGTCCATCTGGGTCACAACATGAACATCAGTAAAAGTAATCCTAAAGCAAGTAAAGACAGATCTGTCATCAACTTGGTTTTAAAGGCTCCCTCAGGACCTCTTTGGACTCTGGTGTTCTCTCCAGGACCTCGATACGTGTGAGAGACTTACCTGACTAGCACTGGCCACAGGAAGATGCTTCTTCAAGAAAAAGCACCTGGTACCATAAGGCCCCAAACACAGCCCCAGTTGCTCTGTGGATAAATCTGTGCTAATCAATTAAAAAAATGCTCTGAGCTGTTCTCTGGCACTGGGGCCAACTCCTGTGGTCCATTCAGAAATCAACTCATAACAAATCTCCAGCACTGAGCCGGCCACATCTAACGAGCCTGTTGGGGATGCTCATGTTAGCTCTCAAAGTACACCCAGAAAATGTCCAGGAGGGCAAAGCCAAAGCTGTGCCAGGGACCAACAGAGCTGTTTAACAGTCTTACAAATACATTCCTGCATGTGTGTCTGCAACCTGCTGCTGTTTAATTTAATTAATTATAAATGACAGGAGCAGCTTTTGCATATTCTTAAATTATTTGCAGTGCCACATGAATGATTCAGTGCCACAATTTAATGGGTTATCCAGATAGGAATGAATTTCTGCAGCTTGACTAATTTCTGTGGTTCAGCCTCACCGTTAGATAAAACTTAAAGATAATTTTTTTCCCACAAAACACAGAGTTGCAAAAAAAAAAAAAAAAAAAAAAAAAAAGACAAAACTGCAGCAGAGCCACTACGAAAACTACTTTTCACATCACAGATCTGCTTATCTAATCAAATGGTTCTTCAGACAGGATTAATATCTTCTTACAACATACTCTTGAGTACTCCAGGAATCAAATACTGCTTGATTCTGTTGTCAGACACCCTTTGGAACCACTTCAGCTTCAGCATCCTTATGCAATGATGTATCAAGATCAGTCTAGGTTCCTAACTATCCTCCATGTTTCCTGCAAACAGCACTCCCTTTCCCTTAAGAACAACAAAAACAAGTGAGATAACAGGAAGAAACCACGTTCTTTTACAACCAATACAATTAACCACACTAGCAATGCAGAATTCAGAAACTTGTAACTTCTATTGTTGATGCATCAGTTAATTGGTGAGCCTGCAGTTGCTCTGATATAACCTCTTTCGAAACCTCTGCTCATACCTCCTCATTCTTTGCCTAGAATTATTTTTGTATGTGCTCTGAGCTACAGGAAACATACAGTCCTTATCCCACAAGTGACATGTAAGTTCACAGAGCTATCATTTATTTCACAGAATTTGTTAATTGTTTTAGTCTAGGGGGAAGAAGATTTCTACCTAATTTTGGTTTAAAGAAGGGTTTCAGGAGCACTGTTCTTATTATGGTAGTGGCTTTATCACAGCTTATTTTATTTCTTATCACCTCTTTTGATAAAAGAAAATAGCTTATTTTAGAATAAACTTTCTGTGGCATTGAATAGAATGCATAATCTCTGCTTCGGGGTTTGCAGAGGCTCTAGAGATCAATAGGAATATTATTCATTGTCACCAACTGATTTCAATGCAGCATTTTAGTTGAGAATTTCAATGCCCAAAAGACAAAAGACACTCGTTAGTTCCCTAGAGAGGGAAAGGTTATATACTGGTGTCTGTTCTACATTTAGCATTTCACAGTTAACATGCTTCTGCCAGGCTTGTTAACAGCAGCAATCAAAACGAGCGTATCAAAAGCTATGTATGTTTGGAGTTGTACTTTGTGGCATCAGAGAAACGATCTTTGCTGCAACAGTAGATTCTTACCAGTTCAGAACAGAGGTTCAGGTTTTGCCCTGCCTCCACTTCCGTGGTCCTGGATGGATTGTGAGAGCCCTATGGGTGCCTTGCAGTCAATGGAGAATTGTTCTTCTTGGAAGGTTTTCTGAACCTGCATACAAAATCAAACGCCAGTGACAGGAAAAAATGAATAACAAGTTCACTGCAGGGGAGAAATTCAACATCTGTGAGAGCTGCTGCACTCCTGCTGCTTTAATAACAGTCAGAGCTGACTTCACTATTCTGTCCAGCCTATAAAAGGAAAATCCTCATTACCTGCATTAAAGAGTCATCATCTTATGTAAACTGATTATTCAGAACATATTTTGATAGCTGCATTTGTCTCGAGAGGAGAAGACAGTATGTTCAACAGTCCAGAACATATATTCTACCCACCCGCCTTCTAGCTTTGATTAACAAAATAGAAATAAATATAATTACCACTGCAAGCATCTCCAATGAGTACCTACCAGCTTCTCAGGGCTGGGGAAAGCTTTTATAACCCTCAAGGCAGAAGTTGGCTGAATTCCACTAGTGGCCAAATTTTAAAATGATCCCTTGCCAAATCCTCACAGACAAAAATTCAATTCTTGTGGGCTTTTTTCCGTAAATTTACAATCTATTTCTTAATTTACTAAATGAATCACAAGTAAAACCACCGCTTCATTGCCTGAACGCTCCAATGCAGGAAGCAGCAGTGCTTCATAACCACTTCAAATAAAAGCAAGCACTGTTTTATAAAAACAAGGGCTTTGACTCCTACTGAACTCCAAAATCACCTCTATTCATTTTTATTTTGAAATCATACCAGAAGCATATTAAGTTAACTTCGAAAACCAGAAGACTTTGCTTGTATGAGGGAAAAATATGTTTAAGGGTTTTATTTATCCTCAGAATAAAATGGAAACAAATAATGTTGTTTCAAAGCAATTTGGAGTTGATGGGAATATTTGAATTCCTTGTACCATCCCCCGTGAGATACATGGACTTCCAGTAAATTGCATCTTGTTCAGCACAGTCTCAGAATGGACATTACAAAGACTACACTAACAGCCTCCAGCTATCACACTTACAATGGTAAATATAATTTCAAATAGGTTACACTTCTCTCAAATTACATTCATTTTAGCAAAGAATGATGTGTGTAACCTTTTTTTCAGTTTCCTTATTTTTTACGAAGTATAACAAAAGTCAAATGCTTCACTGGGCAAACTAACATATCTAAAAGGGCTTCAAGTAATTAACTGCAACGGCATCATAGAAAAATAAAACATCTGATATTTTTGGCATTTCCTGGTGTATGCAGAATGTCTCAACATTTAAATGTCATGTGTCAGCTACATTCACTGACCAGCTATTTGCTAGACAGCTCCCTGAAAGGATAATTATTATTCTTCTTTTCTATGCACTTCCAGCCTGGAATAATGGGCAGAGATTTTGACGGACACCTTAAAAAAATAATAATAATTAATCTCTGCAGGAAATAGAGAGAACACAACTTTCACTCAACAGAAAAGTCCTGTTCTAGATCTGATCATTAAAAACAGGGCCCAGATACCCAAGGAAAGAAACGCTGTTTTTACAAGACATCTTAAGCACAAAAGACTGAAAACTGCTGAACATGTTTACCTCTACGATTAGCAATATATAGGAAGAAAATTTTTGCCAGAAAAGCAAGTAATAGCAATAGCACTTGTAATACTCAGAGGAAAGCATTATTTCCAATTGCCAAATATTTCCCAGCAGGCTCACTGCATCTGTTATGAGATTAAGGCAGAGGTTACAGTTTAGAACAACCGCTCTGGCTTAATCTGCTATGATATTGGAAATGCACATAAAACATCTTCAACATTTCTTTTCAGGTGTGATTGACGAGTTTAATTTATTTGATGTAGTTCTTAGCTATAGGGATAGCAACAATGCCATGGAAGGAAGCAAGACTGACGCTGCACAGCCGAGTTGCCTTGGCAACAAGCAGCCAAAGTTAGCGTATGAGGCATTAAAGGACTGGACACAGACTGAATTCTCCCTTGGTGAAGAAGAATGAGAAGTTTTACAACAACAGGCAAATTGGGGCAATATAACAACGCTTGCCTGTGACGCTGGTAATATCCAGAAAATGTGAATTTAAACATCTGACATTATTATCCTGAATTTGTCAACACTGACTGCAATCCTTGGCATTCATTTAGGAAAACATGGATGTTAGCAGCCTAAATGCATGGGATAAATCAGGGCATCGGCACCTGCTGTTGTGTCTTTGTGCAGCTGCAAAAATGAAGCCGAGATGAAAACAGAATTCACCTTTTCCTGTTACAAGTCTTGCCCCAGACCCTGGGCTCTGACAAAGGTGGCGTTATCAAACCACCTGCTCACTGCCAGACTGACAAATATCCCTCCTAGGGTTACAATACACAATTCTCAATGCTTTCTTTCCAAAGAGAGTTATATTTTTGACAGATGGATGTAACAGCTTCCATTAGCATCATAATCACAGGAAAGTGCTAGAAAAACATACTGTGTTTGAGCAAGTAAATTTTCATGGTAATATTTTTAGGCCCCGCTGAACGTATTTTCATGTAGCAGGCACTTCCTTTGTTTCCTTCATTGGAAATCAGATGTTAACACGAAATGCTAGTAAGCAAACCTTAGCAAGTGAGAAGAAATCGAAATAAAATAGTTGCAAGAGTAAAAACTCGGAAGGAGCCTCTGAAAATACTGAAATCCTTCCATTTTTGATTATTTTGGGGATGTTCTGTGCCCTCACAGCAGAGGGTGAAACCTTGCAGGAATGCATATTCTGGCTGGGCTTCCAGAAGCACGATGTTAACCCCGACACCATGACACTGCACGAGGGGACATGACACAACCTCAGAAAGGAAAGGACTGACCTTTTTTTTAATGGCCATCACTGCTCCATGGTGAAGCTAGACCTTGGCAGAGGATAAGTAACATCACATCCAGTGGCACCCAGCTTGGCCAGACAAAAGCGGAAGGGAAAGGAGGTTCATAATTCAACGCTTCCTTTTGAACTTTCTTATTTCTTGCTGCACCTGAAATTCAGAACAGAAGAATGGCTTGGAACCCATTGCTTACAGCAGTGTGGAGGAAATGATCACAATTGTGACTGACATTGTAATTATTTGTGCTGTAGAATTTGTTTTCATTATGAAACATCTGCCTTGTTTTTAAGCATTTATGTAATGAACTTTCCTTTGTTTTTAGAGGGCTTTAGACTACATGATTTACGCAACACTAAAGCTAAAGAGGTCTTTCATTCACCCTACAAAGGACTTTATGATTAGTAATAATGATATCACAGTTAACATTTTCCCCATATATCTTTCACCCGATCTGAACCTGGATCAATAATGTAAAATTCAGCCCGCTAAATCTCACGGTTTGAGTATAACAGGCTTCATTAGTCACTGCATAGTCAAACTGACAGCACTGGGCATCCTTGAGATGTCTCCTGATACTTAGCTACTAGCATTTTGGAGGAGTATGAGTTCATTGTATAACATCCATGACAAAACCAGCTCCGGTAGGACTCCCCTGAGTACAAGGTAAAAACCAGTAACACTGTAGGCTGGGCTGTATTAACATTTCATACTTACAAAGCACTTCCCATCCAAGGACTCTCTAGCAACTTGACAATGTTAAGCTGAACAGTTACTTAACATGACTGTATGCTTTTCCACACGTGAGAAGCTCAAGTAGAGCAGGCTAAGATGTCCTTACCTCAGATCAGTAAATAATATACTAAAACTCTCGGTTTTGTTTATTGATAAGCTTGACGTGTGTGAAATATTCAGTGTACTGCATAGTATTTTTCACAAGTGGAATCAAAGTGGGAACCTCAATACCAAAGCTCCAAATGTCCTACCAAAGAATGAGTTACAGGAGTTACTGTATTGAGTTACTACTGAGTTACTGATTCCCAAGAATGAGCATCCAATAGGCACCTTCAGCATAATGGGGTGCCAAACAGCCAAAAAGCTAAAATTTTGGAAACTAAAGCCATTCACGATCATCCAACAGTGAAATAGTACAGTTTCAGTTTGCAAGAATAATTTCTCTTACCTCAATTTAATATTAGTATGGTGAATAATACTGTGGTAAGTATTCACAGAAAAGTCTACAATTGGCCACATAAGAAGCATTTTATATGCTTTAAAATTAATTTTCTTCATTTATACTTTCACGAATGTATCACTCACATAAGCAAATTTTATAAATAAACATAAAAGTTAAAGCGTGTGCTATTAACTCAACTAATCGCTGCCTTGCAGTGAATTTCAGATAAGGAACTCATTCTGCACTGTACATACTCAGGCAATACGTTACAAAACGACTTCATAAAACATCCAGCTGAAAAAATGTCTATTTTGCCTTGTCATTTCAAACTTCTCAGGTGGTAATGCCCCACATTTCTATATCCATCTTATTACCTGCTCTAGAATTTCTCTAACTGGAATTTCTCTACACAGCTCATTGGAAATTGAACTTTATTCTTTCAAAAGCTATAAAGAAACTAAAAAGTAACACAGCACTGAAATTGGTTGTGTGCCATCCAATGTGTTTTTTTTTGTTTGGTTGTTTTTATTAAAAGTGTGAAGAAATAACAGAGATACAAGGGAACACAGTGAAAATTAAAACAAAAAACTGGAAGTCATGGCAATTACAGTATGTAAAAGCCATTTATAACAAAGTAAAGGCGCTCCTTTCTAATCTAAGTGAAACTACAAGGCAAGTATCTGTTCTCATGTCAGCACGATCACTGCACACTTCTCAGGATTCAATACAGTGTTAGTAACTGTGTGTACTAGCTTTGAGCAAATGTTACAGCATCTTTTCTTTCCAACTGCTGGTAACTACTCCTTGCAGTTTAGAAAATCTTGCTTTAATTACGTGTGCAATTCCCTTTCTAATCTGTGAATACAATGCAAGACATATATATTAAAGAAAACAACTCTGGGGCTTGGTTCAGAATTTAAGATAAAATTAAAATTTGCTGTTGAAGCACCTTTCTCTTAGTTCTCAAAATTTGAGTGGGAATTTACCCATAAAAGTAGTTTTCAACTTTAAATGTTGAGCAGACAGCAACAACGATTAGGAACTTCTGAGTTGCTAGCTTTGGTGAATACCCTTTGCTTACTGTGCCTTGTTTAAGTGAAAAATTGTTGGTATTTTCTCAGAGATATTGGTATTTAATTAAGGCAATCTGAGAATTAAAGCATGTAGGCTAAGGTTGTATTTGTATACATAGAGTTGAACGAATTCCAAATAACTAAAATTACAAGGAAAAGAAAAAACCTTCCCAACATCATGAAAATAGCACGAAATTTGAAGGCTCTGGATAAATGCACCCAAAGCATCTCAAGATTCTCTTAAAAAGAATAACTGAGTGCCTGATTGCAAAGAGCTTTAAAAAGCTTTAAATTGATGGAGGAATAACTTTTACTTGGGGCAAAGTATAATGCATATAGTCTGAGTTACAGTTTCCAACAAACTGTTCTGACTGAGAGGACTGACATCTAAAATCTGTGTTTACGGCCAGCAGAGCAGAGCTCTGAAGCCACAGGCCTTGACTTGCATGCAGCTATGCAAATACCACGCAGAAATCATCTTTTTCTTTTAGCAGAACAGCAAGAAAGCCTGAGTAATATTTTTTCCTTTTTCATCTGGTCTTGACTGAAATGGTTCTAGGAGCCCATCACAACCCTGGCTATATTACATTTTCTCATTATTACATTACTTCAGCTGCAGATGCACAGGCAGAAAGTTATTTCCACGAAAATATATGGTCTGTCCATACAAAAAAATAAAAAAATAAAGAGAGGAAAACAGGACATATCATGTGAGGCCTTGAAAAGCCTTGCTTTATAGAAAGCTGAAGTTACAGCCAGACAGGGACTTAGAACATCTTATTACCGTTCCCACTCTTGGGAAAGTACGCTAGCTCCCATGAACGAGAGCTGAAGCATAAAGATAAATGAACTTCATCCTGCCAAGAGCAACGTGCAGCCTGCTGGGGCCAGCCCTGCCATTGCAGCTCCTCCAGCTGCCAAAAAGGCAAATGAGCTCACGAGCCTCGCTGCAGGAGGAAGGAGGGACCTCTCGCAATTCCCCCACTACAGCTCCAAGCTGCCCAATGCAGCTTGAACTGAAGCATACACAAGATTCTTTTCTATCTGCTGCTTGCCTAGCTTGAAAATTAGAAGAAGCTATTGGCAACAATTTATATGAACCAGGAGAGCTGAGAGGGGAACTTGAGCATGCTAAATTGCAAGTAATCATTCACTGTTCGGTGACAGCTTAACAGAACTTAATCACAAAACTTAAAAAATAAGATTGGGAAAGAGGATGAGAGGACATCAAGTCCTTCTCTCAGCTCTTCTCACCTAGTTTCTATTTATAAGCTTTTCAATAAAATCTCTGTTTAGGGACTGGAGTTTAAAGGTGCTGAAGAGACTATGGTTAGCTGCAATTTCTGGGCGCATGCAAGTGTGTTAAGAGCACCTCTCTCTGCACATGACAGCTTAATTCAAAATCAGAGTGTTAACCTAACATTTCCCTATTTCCATACTAAGAATGCCATTTTGATAGAAATTACATGCACTCAGATAGATGATAGACTAAATTTTGTAGACTGGACTTCACTTTTCTTATCTTTATGTTAACATGCCAATAAAAAGCTTTCCATATATGCCATTTTTGAAGAATTTCTTCCACAGGAAGAGCTTAACACAAATTTCCAGTTTGCCAGAGCTGCAAAAAAAACCATTATCTTATGAAGGGGGGTTCCTTTCTAATCTTCAAGTGCTGTTTGAAAATATTTCTCACCCCTTTCTCTTATCTTTTCAGCCAAAAATCAATTTCAACTGCTTGAGAGAAACATGGGTGCTTGGTGCCAAGATGAAGGGAAAAAACGCTACTGGGGGTGCAGCTAAAGAGAGGGAGAGAAAAAGGAAGGAACCCAACAGCAGGGAGGAAGAGAGACAGATGTATGCTTACACATAGGTCAGGTAAGGCTAAAAACATGCTACATGCAGTAAGTTCTGCAGCATTTCATGCTAAATGGTAATATGACATGATGTGTTCAATGGAAGAAATCCCCTTTCTGAGAGCAGTGCTAATCCCTAGAACTTCAGACAGCTGAGATTGCGCACTCTTCTGTCAAGCTACAATATCAGAGTAGTCTTTTAAATTTTGTATGTCTCACCCTGTGTGAATTAACTCATTTAAATTGCTGATTCCTCCTCCCTTGCACGTTGATGCATATTATTTATTGTGCTTCAATCACATCATTCTCAAGTGACAAATTGAGGTTGAAAAGATTTCTCACTTTTGACTTGGAATCATCTCCCCTTCCTGCTCAATTCACAGAAGCCAGAGAGAAAGATTTCACCTACTACCGCTTGCTTATTCTTTTTAAAATGGCAAATGAAACAGACAAAACCCATTCAAGATTACCGTGCAGAAGAAAATGTTCTTGCCATTAATGTCTGAATCGATACAACACAAATGTGTTCTTAGATGAGCTCTGGTATTACCCAGCTGGTATCACTATTCAGTAATTATTGTCAGTGAAACAAACCATGTTCTTCCACAATCTAGTGCCCGAAGAAACATCAAGGGGTAAAAAAATCTTAACAATAGGCTTTCTTTTTACTCTTTCAGTAGACAGTCACTGCGTACTTTATTTTCACAGAACAGATTTTACCCATCCACTCTCCTACACCTTCATTGCCCACTCTCCCCTCACAGCTGCTCCCTTACCTAAAGCAACTGCAGTTGGTACCACATAGCTGTACAACAAGGAACTTAGACAAGGGGAATTTACTGCCAAGGGCAACGATACTTACCAATACTACAAGTGAAACGAATCATGTTAACCCTTACAATTACTGCTGACACTGAGTACAGCTGTGAGCCAAACTGATCACACAGGGAGCCCAGCAGGTCACTGTGGCAGCTCGGGAGGTGGAAGAGTGACCCACTGGGAAGTCAATTGGCATCCAAGTTCATGTGACAGGG